ATAAAAGCAGGTGTTCTAAAGAATAATTAACGTGGCTCGCGCGATCGACGAGCGGCGTATTGTATCGCAGTACGCGTATACGCGATTATTAAAAGCTCCAAACGACCAACAACGAGTTTTGCAGTTGTAATGATAATTAACGCTTCGTGTGGAATTTTCGACATTGCCGAAATACTGTTATAAGCCAGTTGGTTTACCCGTTGCGCCGCGCCGGTGCAGCCGGGCGCGCTAAAATAAATTTGATCGTACCGATTCAATTGCGTAATCTATTTAACACCGAAATTTACGCAACCTTTTTGTGCAAATTTTGTTTGCAGAATAAGAAAAACTAAAACTCACGGTCATATTATTAGAATTGACGACCATATTTTCATGCAAAACGGTGCTATAAGCAATCAATGGAATATTTAACAAGTATAATTAATATCGAAGGATGATTTATGCAACAATTTTATTTGATTTAATTATTATTCGATCTTATAAATTGCTAATGGGATACTATATAGCGTATACAAGATAGTAAGACTATTTTACGTACCGCAATGTAAATGTGGCGGGGTTGTCGATCTATTTTTAATTCCGAGGTCTAGTTGCGGATTAGATATATAAATTAAACATTATTTTACTAAATTTAAAATAATCACAAACGATGATAAAAAAAATTATATCTCTGAATATTTTCAGGGGACTAAAAGTATTAATTTGCTATTAAAAATTATACAAATATACACAATAATATTTATTTAACATACTGACTTTTTTCATCAAATTCGATGCCATATACATCGTATTGTAAAAGCCTATAATCTTTATATTAAAAAATCTTATTTTAAATTTGACGATGGATATATATAAATAAAATATACAACATTATACGTAGTAAAGGAACAATAATTACTATTAGCTGTAGGTTAGAAAAAGGATGTAGGAAATGTTGTTTGCGATAGAACAAGAATTACACGGATAATAAATTATTTCGGAATTAGTACATCATCCACATTATAGTTCGCTTATCCTACATTTGTCATTAGACAATTTGTCTTATTCGCTGTCAATTGGGTCTGAGTCAGTCTTAAGGGATCCTCTTGTGATCATCGCCTTTAATGAATCCGATTTAGGGCGCCGGGGGATTCAATTAGAGAGAGACTATGGTCCAAAGAGATTCAAATGACCGCGGCTCTGAGATTCGGGACAACCGCAAGGGTCAATTGCATAATCTGACATTGTAAGCAGGCATGCTTGATCCATCCGCCCACTCGCATTGCGACGTCATTCTTCGAGGAAGATACAAAAGCGACAGAATCTAATTTCGTTACACGCCGTAAACATTCTCCGTTCGAGAAAATTATTCGCTTAAACTGGTCTTCGCCGGTCTAATTGATCGCGAACGGATTGTTGAGAAGTTTAATTGCAGGTACGCTGTACCGAGATTCTCTCTCTCTCTCTTCCCGCGAGGGAACGCACGGAATTGAATTTTGCAAAGTGCCCTAGGGTCAACTGTATTTTCTGTAGGTACCTTTGGTTTCTCCGATCCTCCGCGATCTGGTCGTAAAACGAAAAACGAAGGAACGAAAGTGCCGGGTGAACCTCTAATTCGGTAGAGAACCGCGATAATTACGGCAATTCGTCGGGAATAAACGTGCACTGCATGCGACACCAAACGACTGTGGTATCATTAGTGGCGCTTATCTACGTAACAATGTGTGCGTTTTCTTAGCAGTGGAGCGTGGAGAAGCGTTGCGTATTATTAATGAACGTGCCCGTTAACTTTTCCAGTCGAATCGAAGACAATTTTCCGGATGGGCGAATTAACGGAAGTGCTCCTTCAGATTAGACAGCCTCTGGCGTTATTCGTGGCGCAATCAACGTTAGTTTAGAGACACCCATTTGTGAAATGTAAAATATAGACGTTATAAAATAAATCGGCGTACCCGTGGTAACACAAATCTTCTCCAACGTGCAATAATCGAGCGATTATTCATTTAGCAGCTATCACAGTTTTCAGTTACGCGCAATTGTAATTGAGAATTGTTATTTTTGTTACTAGGACGCGTATATCACATTTATCTCGCCGTAATAATCATCTCGATTAAACTTGCCCTCTATATTCGCGCACTCGCGTAATATTTGCACGTCTCTTGCAGTTCCATGTTTAATATATAATTTTCATAGTAGATACACGTGTGTCTGTTTGAGTTTCGCAGACTACATGACAGTTGAATCCGCAGTATATTACTTCCCGTGTAAGGAGCCTGACTGTAATTGAGATTCCGGGATACACAAGTCTCGATACAAGTCACGAATTGGCCTGCGAATAACGTTGGATAATTGTGGAGCGATCATGGAGATGTCTCTCTCTCTCTCCCTCTCTCTCTCTCTTTCTCTCTCTCTCTCCCTCTCGATGCGATGGTGCTTCGAGATACAGCGAACGAGGGAGTAACAACAATGACGCATCTCCCGTATACATTCGTAATAATAGCAATCGAATTGGGTGCAAATTACGTAGAACGATATTTAAGAGTAAAATAAGAATTATAGCTTATACTATACGATAATCTCTCTCTCTCCCATTTAGCGACATTGAAATTGATTCTATCAAGAAACGTAATACGCTTTAACTTTGGGCGCAAGAAATAATTGGTTGCAGTTCTGCAATGCGGAACCAACTCCGAAACCTCGGTTTTCCGCTAAAGCAAATTTCGCGAAACATTATAGAAGTCAAATTTTGCACACAAACATCTTAAATACAATGACCGAACTATAATAATCCTCCTCAAGTATAATTCCATATGTTTTATATGCGTGTTTTAATTAAAAATCTTCCTTATTGCATAACTGCATTCAACTGAAGTTATTGCTGCAGCGAGTATACACACACACATATATGTTATATAAATCTATATAACGTTTAGCGAAACATGTGATGCTTATTACGACGGATGCATTTTTCATATTTTGTTATTAGAATAATTACGCGTTAACAAATTGCGAATGAGGATTTTAATTGCAGGCGATATGCGGAATACGAGATGCGTATATATCGCATTCATTTCCAATGCGTATAAAGATGAGCTATACATATATGTATGGTGCTCGTGTAATTATTGAAATGCAGTAATGCATGATCTATATCTCGCATTTATGGCTTGGAACATGTCAAAATTATTCATGCGACTTTTTTTTTAACGTAGAAATGTTTGGAAAAATGCATGTATCGTAGAGAATTTACGTGTAATGATAAATTTTTAAGCTACATATTGTACATAATATGTTTTATAAAATAAAAGATTTTGATTTTAAGTTAAATTATAAATTTATAATGTAAGGTGAATGCACCAATGCACTTAAGACCTACTTATGTCTAGACACCTTTATCATTTAGGTTTTGAATAAGTATAAACGCGAATTAAAATAAAAATATAATACAAGAAAAGTATTTATATCTTTGATTTTTTGATTTTAATTCGCGTTACTTATTTAAGGGCTTAAATGATAAAAATGTCCAGATATATATAGGTACGTGTCCAGGCATTGGTACATTTACCTTACCTATAACAAAGTGTCGATTGCAGTGAGTTACATCTCTGTTTTTAAACAATTAATATTTTAAATATTTTTTCTTCAAAAGTTTTTTTTAATTCTTAAAATAAATAGTTATAAATATTAATTTTTAAAAAATACATTTACTAAATATTTATTATTTTTATTTTGTTGCAGTCATTAACATTTATTTTACATTAATATTATTAGAGAAATGTCGTGAATGATAACTGTTCGCGATCGAACCTAAAACCGTCGGTTAATTAATACCGCGAATTAAAATAATCATTCTTTTCAATTATTTCTGTCAAATTCTGCCTTTCAGTTTAAAGTTGTCTAAACCGTTCGCAGAAATATCAGTATATTTCCTGGTAAACTTAGAAGGGCATAAAAACAAAGCTCAGTTTTTGCGTATACCGACTCGCCCCTTTGTCTCGGGGACTCGGTGCGCGAGGCATACACCCGGGACAAAGCGAGCGAGCGGTGTTTCAAAACAGCTGATCAGCTGCCGGCCTCGGGATCAGCTTGACATTCGTCAAATACGAATTTCTCAGAGTGTCGATAGCTGATTGGCTTGGTTGAATTTTCGGCTCGTTACCGGGAGTCCGGAGGATTCGCGAAAATTCGGAAGTCGTGGGAATAAAGGTCAATCCAGACAAACTTGCATAGCGCATAAACATAAGCATAAGAGAATTGATTGGTCCATATGCATGTGCATAAGGAAATAGACCAATCCGTTATGCACCTATGCAAGTTTGTCTGGATAGACCTTAAAACCCCGGACCTCCGCGCGCGCGAGTCCGTATTCGACCAAAGTATTTCGGCGAATCATACATCTCGTAAATAAAGTCACTCGTATATCCGTGGCTCGCGGTTTTCGTGTGCTAGGTTCCGTCGTTCGCGAAAACTATCTGTCCGTGGTTCGCGGGATATAGAATGTAAATACTGTAATTACTGTATGTACATAATATAGACATTTACATACAGAATAAGACTTTAACATTAAATTCAGATTTCCCTCTCACTCGCGACTCCTTCGATCATTTCGCACGCAACAACAACAAAATTATCTTAAATTTAAATTACATAAATTGTATTAGATTCAATTTGTTTTATATTTTCTTCTAGCGGCTATTTGATCGTGAAAGAGAGAATTCAGCTCATGTTCTCTGTTTTCTTTTCCTAGATCGAAGAGGATCGGGTATGAAGCCGTGATTGCGCGCCCCTGAACGAAGATCAACAAGTAGCATGGACTGGTGGGGGCGATCGCTGTTTGTACGTCGGTGAGGAGGGGGAAGGGGAGGGTCGGCGTCGTGGCCTGGCGCGGGTAGAGTGAGACCGAGCGGGTGGGGGTATACTCACGGCGCGGTACGGCGCGGTGGAGGAGGGGGGGGATTCCAGGCGGTCAGGACAGGCATTACAGGCAAGCGAGCGAGCGAGCGAGCGCGAGAGGAGAGCGAGGCAGGGCGAAGCGAGCGCGTCGCGTACTCGTAGCGTTCAGTCGTGTAGGCGCGTTTGCACGGGGTCGTTCTTCGGCGATATCGTTGCCGTTCGCGGGAACGTCCCGACGCGTCGCCGCCGAACCAGTTTGTACTATACGCGAGCGCGTGTGTGACGTGTGCCTGGTTCATTTCATTCCCGATAATCTCGCGAGGGATCGAGTCGGCATATTATAAAGGATAAAACAGAGGTGGGACACGATGAGAGGCGCGTGTGGAAACAGTGTGTAGTGACCGTTGGAAACGCCGTTGGCACGCGGGACCCGAAGGAAGGCGTCGGGGAAGGGTACAGAGCGGCCCGAGAAGAAGAGGATAGACGGCGTGGTGTGTTTCGCCGAGGACGCCGCCGGACGCGCGCTGTGGACCGCCATTGGAGGCGGAGAGGTGGATCGTTCGGGGACCGTTGACGATGCTGGGAAAATGCGTCGCGCTGCGGTCCGGGGCGAGGCCCCGTACTCTCGTCGCGCTACCCACGTCGCCACCCGTCCTCCTCACCAGCGTGCTGTTGCTACTGCTCAGCGGAACTTACGGTGAGTGGACCAGTGGACCGTATCTTTCTCGAGGTTACGCGCGCCTCGCTACGTAGCCGCCGTCGTCGTGGCCGTGTGTGTCAGTGTGTGCGTTTGAATTCGAAACCTGCCGCGCATGCGCGGACGTGTTCCGCGCGCGCGTGTTAGTGCAGTGGCGGCCGTGGGGGAGGGAAGGTTCCACAGCGGGGCCTCAAGCCGCGTTCTGGGACCCAGCGAGCCTCCGCCGCCGCCGCCGCCGCTGACGTTGCGATCCGCGTTAAAACGGAGCACGCACTTGCGCTCCCTTCTCATCGTTAAGCCTTGTGTCCACGATACTGGAAATCGCCCCGAGATCTCGGACGGAGAAAGAATCTACAAATGGCATTGGTCAATCGGTCGAATTGTTCGAATGTGATTGGTCAATTCTTTGGCGTCCCGAGATCTCGGAGCGATTTCCAGCATCGTGGACACGAGGCTTTAGACCGGCACGTCCGAGGCGAAGGAAAGGCGCAACGTGTACGCTGCGAAGAAACTGGTGTCTATAGGTGACACCGCGAGTCGATTTCTCATCGAATTGCTTTCGCTCGCCGGTCTATCAAATCTATCACTGAGTTCGTTTAACCACGATGCATAATATATTTAAAATTCTATTTGTGTTCTCGTCTGTTAAAAAAATATAATCTTTGTTTGTAAATTGATATTTATTCTCTCTTTTGAGGAATGATCAGAGGAATATTCAGCTAACTTCTTTTTCTACAGTATTCGAATTTGGTCCTTCAGAGGTCCGTCGAGCTTGAACTAAGCTCTCTCGTCCGTGAGAGAAGCGTGGCAGCGGGCGCCATGCCGATCGAGAGACGCGCGGCCATCGGTGACCTCGGTTTTAGTTTCCGAAATAATCGAAAAAGGCAATACACAATAGCAGAATTATCCGGAACGTAAACAGGGCCCGACGCACGCACTGAAATATAACGACACAAATTTAACGGAAAGTACAAAGTTTCTCCGTTGAGCAGCCACTGGAATGGTCATTTTTTTTTGCGATAACAGATTTACAATTATTTTTCAAACGATAAATTTATCTGTTTCAAATTGAATGCAGCGAAGTGCGGCCGCAGTTTTTCACTACGGTTTTTAACGGAAAAAAAGCTCGTGATTGAAGTTCGTTTCGGTTCTCGTGTCACGGAATGTCGGATAACGGAGAATCGGATAATCGGAGCTCCACTGTATATACAATATTTAGCCGGTACATCTTTCTTCATTTCTTAAATTACAGACGATACAGACGAATTAATTTTTGATACAGAATAAAGTAATAATATGGACGGGAGATTACGAACTTGCAGTGCCTCCCGAGCTCTAGCTGTCCGCATAATTATTAATCATCTCTCTCTTGCATTCGATTTATTATTCAATTCGTCGCAGTTAATATTTGACTTAATGAATATTTGTTATGTATTTAAGTCTTTAATACACGCGCCGTTCTCGCGACAAGGTACAGAACTAAACATTTCCCGTTTCTCGAAAGCTTAAAATGACAACCGAAAATTCGACTTGACAGTCTCCGTAAGCTTGTTATTTGGCCCAGGGAAATTACATTGTATCGAGCATCAATTATTGCGACTTATGTTCCGGAGCGACCACGGATGGTCGATCGCAAAAGCTTGCGAACTTCCGCGTACGGTTAATAGTTGTTTGCGGTGCTTACGTAATCGCACATACAGTACAGAATTAACGTTTAACCCAGATGTTTTCTCAGCTCGGTTGCACGGGACTTAAATTTATTCTAATAATAAACGATAAATCTGTTAAACAGTTATTGTAATCCGCGCATCGTCGGCTCGTTCCCGATATTTGCTACGAATCGTCCTTCCCCTCGCAGTTTTCTTAACCGAGACACGCGCGACCGGTGCTGCAAACGACGTGCGCGAGGATAGTGGAGTTAGCAAAAATTGTTAGAAAAATCAAGTCGCTGAAACGGCTGAAAAGTTTCGGGAGGGGCGAGAAAAAAAAACTAGACGCAGGAAAGTCCACCCGTCAGGCGATTTGCACTCAAAGAAGATGCACTCGAGCGAATAACGTTGTTTCAGTCGCACGTGACCCTAGAAATGTAGGTTTGCGAAAAACTTTCCTGTCACGATTCCGGGGCGAGCGGATCGATGAACGTCAGACGACAGTTACTAATTTTGGCCCCACAATTCGGATCGTTAATCTATTTGTCTCGAGAACTGCCCGAAAGAAAAAGTGAATCGTTATTCGTGTCGTTTTTTTTTTCGATGAACCGTAAATAAAGCAATCGCGAGTGAGTCGCGTGACTGTAAATCTTTTGTGACAATTACGTAATTGTCGGACTTTCCGAGAACTATTTCTCATTCACTTTCAGTCGCATACGTAAGGTACATTAAACTTGTCTTAAAAGTAACTAATATTATATCAAACAATGGATTATTACTTAATGTCAAACAGATTACTTGTTATTAACGTTCCGTATTAATCTTCCAGTACGTGACACTTCATATAATATATATCTCTTTTATAATTAAACAATCGCTTTTCTCTCTCTCTCCCTCTAGCATAATTTAATTATATATTATTTTTATGTTAGTAAACATCCAACTTTTTATCTTCATATATATAATTTCTTTTCCTTCATAAAATATAGTTTAATCTCATAATTGAATTATTATGTATAACATACTTGTTATAAACTCTTTAGTCTGCACATCTTAGCCGTATAATGACGTTTCAAAATTGAAATTGAAAAAATAAATTTAAGAAGTAATTTTGTTCCGGATTCGCCGTTACTCCGGAGTAACCTTTAAGTTAGATTTAGATGTTTTCGTACGACTAGAGCGTGTACGTCGATCACGCACACACGCGTCCCGGACAATAGAATCACGCGCGGGCCACGCTTCCGAATTTGACATTTCGCGTATTAAGGCTCAGTCACAATGAGAAAAATAAGGAATAAGATAAAGGAATAAGAAATAAAGGAATGTCGCATCTCACTTTAGTACACGTACATTAAAGTGAGATGCAACGCCTTATTCCTTATTCCTTTATCTTATTCCTTATTTTTCTCATTGTGACTGAGCCCTTGTGCGACGATCCTGCGTGCCCGGTTCAAGCTCGACGGATCTCTGAAGGACCAAATATAAATACTGTAGAAAAAAAGTTGGCTGAATATTCCTCTAACCATAATCCACCTCTAAGATTATATTTTTTTAACAGACGAGAGCACAAATAGAATTTTAAATATATTATGCATCGTGGTTAAACGAACTCAATGATAGATTTGATAGACCGGCGAGCGAGAGCAACTCTCGATGAGAAATCGACTCGCGGTCGCGGCTCTGGGACGAGCACAAAGGGTTTATACACAGAAGGGTTCTTCTCGATGACGCGCGCTCGATACGTCTCTTGCTCTAACGAGATGGTTTACCGCCGTTTACCAGGTGACGCGATACGACTTATCGCGGGAGGAATAAAGGAGGTGCACCTGGCTGTTAAGCGTGTCGTCTTTCCTCGTTGAAATTCCCAAACGCAAAATTGGTTTAGCCGACACGCCTAATGTTCGCGGTGTTTGCCGGCGGACGTATGGCATATTGATGCGAGTCGCGGTAAACCCGATGAATTACAACGCGGTATAAAGCACTCCCCGCCGACTTTCGTCGACTGACGAACCGCCCGCGCGAGTATATCAGGATGATCTCGTTCTAAAACATTCCATGATGATTCAGATAATTAAATCAGACACGTATACGTATTGAATTAGCTATTTTTCCAATATCGTAAAGAATTCCGATATCGAATTCGTGGGGATCGTTAATCTTTAAAACAATTCGTGAAGTTTGTAAAACGTAATTCGATACGCAAGGCGAGAACCGTCTCCATTTTCCATTCCACTCGCGATCCTGCGAGTTGCTAAATTCGATCTTTCATGTTGTGTTTGTGTTGCACGACTCGCGGGACTTTGGACGACTTCGTCCCGCGAGGATTATTATTTGGTTATATTTATCTTCGTTCAGTAATGGCTATTTCGAAACGGCACCGACATATCGAACAGTAGCGAGACTGGCGAGCGAGCAGCCGGAAAAGCGACCGCCTCGAAACGGATACATTTTTTTTTTATCGCTGCCCGATATAGCGAGACGATCTTTCGATACCATTAGACATTTCGATAGCTTTTAAACGATTTCGTCGGGTTCAAGTCGAGCTCTCCCTTCGGTCGCAGGATTCCACCGCGTATCGTTGCCTACAATAGAATCTATTAATCAATATTTCTAAAAATACACTCGTAACGGAGAATAATGAGTATAGAAAAATACCGCGTAACGGTACCTTTGTATCTTGACTCAACGTATGATGAGGGCACTTTTAAGCATAGCTTTATGACAATTGACGACGCAATATGCAAAACCGCTTCTGCTGATTGCGTAATATCCTCATGCAAGTTCTTTTCACGTTCTTTCGCGTTTTCACATGAAAATCGCACTGTTCAAATAGAAATATATGAAAAATTCTACTGCACGTAGAGACTAAAGAATTTGCTCTCTATAAATATTAAAAACTGCATTTTTAAAGCATTTTTGGAACGAGGATGTTTGATGTATAACTGGGTTGCACGCGTTGCACGTTTCTTTCCGTGAGAGAACCTCCTCCTAGGATCTCACACCGGACACAAAGGGTTAAAAGGCCAAAGGCCACGGGTTACGAGAAGTGTGCGGTGGCGGGCGAGGAAATGAGAGTTGCGAACATTATCGATCTTCCGTGTATCTGAGTTACTCCAACTCGCGCCCGATTCGGACGGCCCGTCCGATTCGGATCGTCACGCGCGTCGCGCGTGTATCTCCCGGGCGGAAATTTTTGGCGATTGGCAAAATTGATAATTGGATAAAAGTTGGGACGTGCCGGGTCGTAAAGGCGGGCGAGGGCTGCATTTCTTTCGCCGAAATTGCCGAAAAGCATCGTAAACGATTCGAAGGCGTGCGCGGGCGAAGAGTAACGACGAAGAGGAGGAGGGG